GCATTTATTAGAGGGGAATAATTTTATTGGTTGCACATGATACTAATAAAATATTTTTTATTATAGTGCAGGACCATATATAACAGTTAATTATTATCAAATGACTTTAAAAGCTTATAACTCCTTCCTTATTAAAAAAGAAAAAGAAAAAAAAAAACTGATAGAATTAAAGCTAAAGACCTAAGCTACATTTCCATCTATTTATCTTTTCATTTTATTAGAAAAGTTTTGAGTTATAAGGTTTCAAAGTTATGCTATTTCATATAGGTCCATATGTAAATTGTAAAATTTCGGAATGATCTTCCCTTGTAATTTCCTAAAAGGCCGATGATCGACTTAAAATTTTTTCGTGATACAGAAATCTTTCCAATAAAAGAAATCTGATAATTTAATTAATTTTTTATTTTATTTTCCATTACTCTTACTACACATAAATATTTAAAAAAAATTCTTGATCTTTATCCTTTGTTAATCCTTATTTTTTTTGATTTCACCTATAAATCTCACCATTTGCATTTGTGAAGGAAGAAACAAAGAGAGGTGAACCTATTAAAAATATTGCTTTGAGTTAGTTCGTTTATGTATTTGCAATTTGTTTCTTTGTAAATTAATATGCTTTTTAGATTAATATATTAACAAAACATTAATGTTTTAGTTTTATTATTTGTTATATGTTAATTAATATGAAAGGATATTAAAATAATCTTTACATTTAAAATAGAGATACGATCCGCGGATATCCGTCATCTGTTAATTGCTCAAAAAATACATCCGTCGGATTTAAATGGATTGTCCGAATTGATCATCCACAGATCGCATCTCTAATTTAAAAATGAAATTACAGTTTACTTTAAAAAAATAAAAATTTTGCAAATATAGTATCAATCGAAATACAAATTATAAAAATTCACTTGTTTTTTTTTAACTCAACGAACAATTTTGGTGAATAATAATCTAAATTTATCGATTGTTGATGACACCATCCTTTTTTTTTATTAATTGAAAAATGAATTTGGATCCTGCCATTTTCTATCCAAATCCAGCCTGTGACTATTTTTAAAAAATAATTAGTGAATAATTTTTATTAAAATACAGAAATATACAAAACTGTCATACCAGAAGTCAGTGTTGTGCGGTTGGAACATTGTAATTGTTATTGGAATGTTCCAATTTCAATGTAGATCTTCAATTGATATTGACCAATAAAATTTGTGTGTGAGACACTCTAATTGAATTTCATTGGTTAA